TGGGACGACATGGACTGGGAGAGAGGAACGAAAATGGAGAAAGATTTGCAAATTTGTGTGCATTCAACAAATTGGTCATAAGAGGCACAATATTTCCACACAAGCGTATACACAAGGCTACATGGATCTCACCGGACCACACTACAGAGAACCAAATAGATCATATTTGCATCAACAAAAAATTCCGAAGGACAATGGAAAATGTGAGAACCAGAAGAGGTACTGAGGTAGCTCCAGATCACCACTTAGTTGTAGCCAATTTAAAACTGAAGCTAAAAACGAACTGGACAAGTGGACAAACAGCACTACAAAGGTTTAATACAGCCTTCCTTCGAGATACTGACAAACTCAATGAATTCAAGATAGCTCTCAACAACATGTTCCAAGCCTTACAAGATCTACTGAAAGAAGAAGAAACTAGTATGGAGGACAACTGGAAAGGCATCAAAGAAACATTGACTTCAACGTGTCAAGAGGTTCTGGGCCTAAAGAAACACCATCATAAGAAATGGATGTCTATAGAAACACTGGACAAGATCAAAGAAAGGAAGAACAAGAAGACAGCAATTAACAACAGCCGAACACGAGCAGAGAAAGTCCAAGCACAAGCTGAATACATAGAAGCAAACAAGCAAGTGAAGAGGAGCATTAGAGCCGACAGGAAGAAATACGTGGAAGAATTAGCAACGACGGCAGAAAAAGCTGCTAGAGAAGGAAATATGAAACAGCTTTACGATACAACGAAGAAACTATCAGGGAAATACAGTAAACCAGAGAGGCCGGTCAAAGACAAAGAAGGCAAGCCAATCACTGAAATTCAACAACAGCGAAACAGATGGGTAGAATACTTCGAGGAACTCCTGAATAGGCCGGCTCCAATGAATCCACCGAACATCGAAGCAGCACACACAGATCTTCCTATAGATGTCAACCCACCAACGACGGAAGAAATTAGAATGGCCGTCAGACAAATCAAGAACGGGAAAGCAGCAGGACCCGACAACATACCAGCTGAGGCACTGAAATCAGACATCGAAGTAACCACAAGCATGCTTTACCCTCTATTCAAAAAGATTTGGGAGGAGGAACAAGTGCCAACGGACTGGAAAGAAGGACACCTTATCAAGATTCCAAAGAAAGGAGATCTGAGCAAATGTGAAAACTACAGAGGCATTACACTACTGTCAATACCAGGGAAAGTCTTCAACAGAGTGTTGCTGAACCGGATGAAGGATGCAGTAGATGCCCAACTTCGAGATCAAAAAGCTGGATTCCGAAGGGATCGGTCGTGCACAAACCAAATTGCAACACTACGGATCATCGTCGAACAATCAGTTGAGTGGAACTCGTCACTATACATCAACTTCATTGATTATGAAAAGGCATTCGACAGTGTAGATAGGAGGACATTATGGAAACTTCTTCGACACTACGGAGTTCCTGAGAAGATTGTCAATATTATCCGGAACTCATACGACGGACTACAGTGCAAAGTAGTGCATGGAGGACAGCTGACGGATGCATTCCAAGTAAGGACCGGAGTCAGACAAGGCTGTTTACTCTCTCCCTTCCTCTTTCTTCTGGTGGTCGACTGGATTATGAAGACCTCGACATCTGAAGGAAAACACGGAATACAATGGACAGCTCAGAACCAATTAGACGATCTGGACTTCGCAGATGACCTAGCCCTCCTATCACGTACACGTGAACAGATTCAGATAAAGACAGCCAATGTAGCAGCAGTCTCTGCATCAGTAGGCCTCAGTATACACAAAGGGAAAACCAAGGTCCTCAAATTCAAAGCGGAGAACAGCAATCCAATCACCCTTGATGGCGAAACTCTGGAAGATGTAGAATCCTTCACATATCTGGGAAGCATCGTCGATAGACAAGGAGGTTCAGATGCCGACGTAAAGGTGAGGGTTGGCAAAGCAAGGGCCGCATTCCTACAATTGAAGAACATATGGGACTCAAAGCAACTTTCAACCAATATCAAAGTGAGAATCTTCAATACGAACGTCAAGGCAATTCTACTGTATGGAGCTGAAACTTGGAGAACTACAACAACCACAATCAAGAAAGTACAAGTATTTATAAATAGCTGTCTACGCAAGATACTCAACATCCATTGGCCGGATACCATCAGCAATAGCCTTCTGTGGGAGAGAACAAACCAACTTCCAGCTGAAGAGGAAATTAGGAAAAGACGATGGAAATGGATAGGACATACATTACGCAAATCGTCAAACTGCATCACGAGGCAAGCTCTAACTTGGAATCCTGAAGGGAAGCGGAAAAGAGAAAGGCCAAAGAACACATTACGTCGGATAATAGAAGCAGATATGAAAAGGATGAATTACAACTGGAAGGAGCTGGAAAGGATTGCCCAGGACAGGGTTGGATGGAGAATGCTGGTGAGCGACCTATGCTCCTTCACGAGGAGTAACAGCTGTAAGTAAGTAAGTAAGGTCTACACCTTCGTCGTATCCAAGTACCGTGGCTACTTTTTTGGCTTTATAGTACGAACAGCGCTATCACACAAATGTATTGGTAAGAAAAGTACAGGAACATGAATGCCTCCACTGCTTTATATACCTTTCCATAGTGTACAATTGATTGTTGCGCTCAAATCACAAGTGACCTTGGAAAGGATCGGTTGACTGCTTGATATTCAGTGATCTGGCTGCCAAATGGTTTGACTACAATATTATAATATATTTCTGCAAGGAGTAGGGTCTCGATCAAACTTATCTAAATAACCCTTCGTTAGTTTAGAGAGTAAGAGGGGGAATTTGTTCCCACTCATTACCTGAGAACTAATCCCAATATCTTATACACATCATGACATTCAGAGTTTGGTTATATTGAGTCAAATCTGAAGGTATTTTGTGTGCTGGGGAAGTGAAAAGAATAATGTTTGCGAGAGAAAACAGAAAACGAAGGGTACGATGGAACTCTACAGATCGATAAGAAACGTGTGTATAACTAAAATTCGGGAAGCGCAAAGAAAATACGAAATGCAGCTGGCAGAATCTGCACTCAAGCAGCCCAAGAGGATATTCTCGTACATAAACTACAGAACAAGGACTCATCACTGGATTCCCAACCTAATTAAAGTAGGAAGTGAATCCGAAATGATAGAGGAAGATCAGGAAAAAGCTGAGATTATGGCTGACTACTTTGGGGCAGTTTTCATTCAGGAACCTCCTCTAGAGAAAGAACCAGACCCAATTACAGAGTCAACAAACCAGCTGCTCACCGTGGACTTCGACCAAAACGATGTGCTTAAGGCTCTTAGCACCCTAAACATGGAGAAGTCAACAGGACCAGATGAACTGCACCCTAAAATCTTGAGACATATTGCCCAATATATCGCAGCCCCACTGACTGTGATATTCAAAATGTCACTTGACCAAGGTGTGTTACCTATGGACTGGAAGGACGCAATCGTCACTCCCATACATAAAACTGGTCTACGACAATTTCCATCAAATTACAGACCCGTAAGCCTCACCAGTGTTGTAATTAAAATATTGGAAGGGATAATCAAACGGACCATAACGGCATTTATGGAAACCAATAACTTGCTGAACATGGCACAACATGGTTTTAGAAAGGGTCTATCCTGTACAACGAACCTCCTTATAGCTAGGGAGCTCTAGATTAATGCGCTAGACAACGGAAACTCAGTGGATGTTGTCTACATAGACTCCAGTAAGGCTTTTGACAAGGTGCCAACTAATAGACTGCTATTGAAGTTGGCAAACCTTGGTATTGCCGGACCTCTTTTAAAATGGATTAAGAATTTCCTAGTAGGTCGTAGGCAAAAAGTAAGAATAAATTCCAAGTGCTCCATCTGGAGACCAGTACTTAGTGGAGTACCCCAAGGTTCCGTCCTAGGTCCTTTACTTTTTATAATGTACGTTAATGATCTTACAAGTATAGTACAGTCTCCAATGTTATTATACGCTGACGATGTAAAAATTTGGCGAGTTATAACTGGAGACAAAGACGCATTTACTCTTCAGGCGGACTTAAATAATATGATAAACTGGTCTAAAGAGTGGCTAATGCCTATCAACTCGGAAAAGTGTGTCTACATGCACTTGGGGGATTCAAAGGTTAATACGTACAACATAGGGGATGTGTCATTACCCATAGTCCGGTCTCATAAGGACCTAGGGGTGACAGTGAGCAATGATCTTAAGACGACGGCCCATTGCCGGGAGGTCGCAGTTAAGGGGTTTCGAACCCTCTGGGCTTTAAAAAGGACATTCACTAAGCTTGATACTACCATGTTCACTACATTATACACATCCTTAGTGAGAACTAAGTTAGAGAACTGTGTTCAGGCTGCAAGCCCCTGTTTAAAAGGTGACTCAGACATACTAGAAAAGGTACAGAGGGCAGCTACGCGTGCAATTCCGGAACTCCGGGGTTTATCATATAAAGAGCGGCTTGAAAAACTGAACCTCTTTACTCTGTCCTATCGCAGACTAAGGGGAAATCTAATATCGATGTACAGAATACTGAGAAATGATTTCGGACCTAACTTATTCTCTCTCTTTCTTCCCACTAGATCGGGACACCTCAGAGGACATAGCAGGCGAGTAGAAAAGCCAAGAACGAACAAAATACCCGTGGCATACAGGTTTTCACACCGAGTCATCAATACTTGGAACCTGCTGCCTGAAGCAGTGGTATCCACACCTTCCATTGACTCTTTCAAGAGAAGACTGGACACTCACAGAAGCATACTAGAAAAGGAATGACATAGGCCGTAGGCCTTCTGTCCTTACTACACAAATCTGAATCTGAATCTGAATCTGAAATGAGACGTCCGGTAACTAATCACATAGAATTTACTTTCATGAAATAAAGAAAGCACTATACGACATTCTATTTCGGAATAAGCATAGCATCAAGACAGTCTGGTAGTCAAACTAGAAGTTGATAGAGCAAGATTTCGAATATTCTACAATAGTTATCAAGGTCATAAATGATGAACTAGATACCGGTCATTTGAAACTGACCAATCGTAATGAGCCGTAAGTTTCAGCACATACTCAACGTTATCATTTAAAGCTCATTCGGATGATGATGATTTTCCTGCTAAAGAAGAGGATGAAGTGTCCATTCCTCGCGCTTCGCTTAATAAGTTTGTCAAGGAGGTACTACCAGATGCACGGTTAACTACAGAAACACGTGATCTTCTCCTAAATTGCTGTCATTGTTTTATTCACAAATTGGCTACGGAAGCTAATATCGCATGTTCTAAAGCTAATAAAAAGACTATAAGTCCACAGCATATACTTGAGGGTGAGGGATATGTAACCAGACTTCATCGTACATTTCAGGTCTGGATGCCATGAACTTATCTTCCTATAAAGAACATGCTGAAGTGGCTTGTCAGGAAGCTAAAGAAGAAATCAAAGGTCGAAAAATGCTTAGTGCTAGTTATCGGTTTAAACACCAAGACAGCGAAGAGTTGGAAAGACTAGCTAAAGAACAACAAGAAATTTTCGAACAGGTATGGAATTCTGGTGTCTTTCTTGTTTTTATCGTTCACAAAGATTGTTTAGTAAAAAGTCTTGTCAAAATGTTTGTTTTGTACTTAATGTGATATTTTCTGTTTGACGCAACAATATTGTCAAGTTTTCAGGATCACTAGTATATTCTATTGCTTTTTGTCACACAACATAGAACCTGACGAAAATGTGCGTCAGCTTAGCTTTCTACCACACTAGTACTGTAGTTCATACCTCCACAAAACAGTTCTCGTACAAGAGTTGATGAATTTAACTCAAGACAGGTCGTATTTGTCGAGTCCATGTTTTTTACTAATTTACTTTAATGTTATCAAGCTTTGAAAAATAGGACGTTCAAACCAAGAGGATCTCAAGTTATTTCTTGGCCCTCTTATCTTCTTTTCACACTTTCTCAACCTAAGCGTAAGAAAAAAGGCGGATATTACCAGGTCTAGATTCGCATCCTAGTTACCTGGGTCTTAAGGTATTTGAGTCGTCGACACATCTCTTTCCATTCTAGTCTTTATAAACTCTGTAAACATAGTAGAATGGCTTTTTTAAGCTTGATAAATTCCAGTTTACCATCGACACTATTCCAAAATCTTTAGACATAATCAGATAAAAGTAAGCCTTGGTCTTCATACTGTGACTTTTATGTCCTTTTCACAGACAACTGATGGCGGAAATGTCTTGAGAAATCGCACTTATACCATTTATGCGTCCGATATACGTGGGGATATATTTGGTTGCATTAGACACTTGATATTGTCTGGTATTTCGTTTACATAGAGAACAAATGAATTTACTATGATATTTGAATCAACAGTTAGGCTGGGGATCTTTTAATCTACATCAGTTTATATCAAAATGGAAATCGCACACAGTAATTATCCTTAAGCCATTTAGCCTTGTTAATTGCACATATCTTTGATTGTTCTCATACGGAACTTATGTTCCACGACATTCGATACCTGACATGGCATAGATTTGTAGCTCAAGTGGATGATCATATGTGAAAAATGTCGAACACTTCACTTTTACCTGAAGTTTATGCTGATGGTTTTCAGAAAAACGATGAAATCTCCACGACCAAACCATCCAGCTCAGAGGACAAAATAATGCCTATAAAAGGGATATTAGAGTCTACCTAACCAAATAATATGAAATCAACGGAAAAGCAGATGACAATTTGGTACAACGTAGTAGGAAGTTAACTATTCTTTAGCCTACATCACCTAACAAGACTTTCGCTTGAGAGAAGTATTTTTATATCAAGACCATTCGTTTGTGCGGTTTGTCAGGTTCCTTTTTATAAAACTAGATCATGGGATAAGTGTTCTCAAGTGTTATTTAGGGGCCAGGTTCCAATTAAATTAAGGATCTCAGAAAGTGTCACTCAAAATGATCTCTTTTTGATTGCCACAGAAAGATTGTGGTCTCCATAAACTGAAGTAATTGAGACTAATCAAACGGAATTATGATGGATTAGTGAATTTTTTAATATATCTGCCACTGACTAACCAATCAAGATCAGCAATACATATATTCGTTAGGATTTATTGGTAATACTAGTGGGACCTCCAACCAACTGTGCTGGATCATTAAAATTATTTGCATATTCGCATTTCGACAGATTTGGGAATGCTCTTATTTTTGGAGTTTGGATACTACGTTAGATACCAAGTTACTGATGAATCTGCAGAACTTGATAGCCAATTTAATTTCCACTTAAAAATTAGTTCGTTGTATCCGGTAACTGATCATAACTCATGGTTGTCCATTTGCATGTTTAACGATTAATTTTTACTTCTTTTAAAGGCTAGGGCTGATTTCATTGGGGAACGGTTAGACAGAGAAGACTTGTTGGCAGCTTCAAATTGTGCTGCATCAGACCTTAGTAACTACATGATCGGACATGGATTATCACAGTCTTGTAATTATCCAAATGTTAACTCTGGAGATATTAATTCAGCAACTGAATCATCTACTTTGCCTACAGCTACTGGATCCGGACGAATTTTAGGCTCTTCAGTCATTGGAGATGATGATAATTATGACGAATAACTATCCTACTGATATGTTTTCACCGTGTCTGTAAATCAAAGTGATAACATTACTTAATGTATAGATTACTGTTATAACATATATTGTTTTATGCGAATTGAAATGCTGGTTAAGTTGTCAACTTGTATTAAACAGGGTTAAAAACCGACTTCATATATCAGTGTACTGATATTTTTCTAAACATACGAAATTAAACTACTTGACTCAGTTACAGATTTAATTTCGAGGCAACCAACTCCGCCTGTTACTCTTCTACGACTGCTGTTAGTCCCAAGCTCACAAAAAGGAGCAGGGTTTGGCGTGGCGTCAGCTTACCTAACCTGTAGAAAACAACCTTGCTAAACAAACGCTAACCAAAACAAACAAATTAAACCATTTAAACTCTGCCCTGAGAGTTGAAGGAAAAATGATGAATACCGAAATTCTTCGGAAGTAACGAAACTGATGCCCCTTCTAACAACCAGAGCAACAACTTATATGGGTACATGAAATGTTCGGACAATGTGGGAGATCGGGAAGACAAACCAAATAACTGCGGAAATAATGAGATACAACTTGACAATGTTCGGAATCAATGAAACTCATTGAACCCAATCTGGACAGAATAGGATATATTCGGGAGAGATATTGCTGTACTCTGGTCACGAAGAAGAGAATGCTCCACACAATTAGAGAGTCGCTCTGATGCTGTCCGAAGAACCATAGAAAGTCCATATAGGATGGGAATGTCATGGACTCAGGATCATCAAAGCATCTTTCAAAACAGTAAAGGGAATCACAATGAATGTTATCCAATGTTATGCGCCCACCAATGACAGCAACGAAGATGATAAAGATCAGTATTATGAGAGGTTGCAGTTATCGTAGAGAGGTGCTCAGGAAAGCAATTGACAATCATGATGAAAGAACTAACCGGCCGTTGGAATGGGCAACAAACGGTATGAAGATATCATGGGACGACATGGACTGACTGGGAGAAAGAAACGAGAATGGTGAGAGACTTGCAAATCTATGTGCATTCTCGAAATAGTTATAGGCAGCACAATATTCCCACACAAACGCATACAACAAACTATATGGGTCTCACCGGATCACAATACACAGAACCAGATAGATCATATTTGTGTCAATAAATAATTCAGGAGGTCAATGAAAGACTTGAGAACCAGGAAAGGAGCTGACGTTGCTTCAGAACACCACTAGCTGGTGATTGCCAAGGTGAAATCGAAGCTGAAAAAATACTGGACATCTGGGGAGACGGCAGTACAAAGGTTCAACAAAGCCTTCCTTCGACATGTTGACAAACTCAACCAATTGAAGATAGCTCACAACAACAGGTCCCAGCACTACAAAATCTCACAAAGGAAGAAACTATGATGGAAGACAAGTAGAAAGGGATCAAAGAAGCACTACCTTCAGCGTATCAGGAGGTGCTGGACCACAACAAGCATCATCGTAAGGAAGGGATTTCAATAGAAACGCAAGACAAGATTCAAGAAAAGAAGAACAAGAAGACAGCAATTAACAGCAGTCAAAAAGGGACACAGAGATAGTCAGGGCACAAGCTGAATACACAGAAACAAACAAACAAGTGAAGAAGAGCGTTAGAGCTGATAAGCAGAAGTACGTGGAAGAGCTAGAAGCGACAGCAGCAAAAGCTGCAGGAGAAGGAAATGTGAGACAACTATATGACACAACGAGGATACTGGAAAGGAAATATGGTAAGAGTGTGAAAGCAGTAAGACCTGACAATATAACAGCCGAAGCACTGAAGTCACACATAGAAACAACTGCAAACGTGCTTCACATGCTATTCGGGAAGATTTTGAACGAGGAACAATGGCACCGACAGACTGGAATGAAGAGTAACTCATCGAGATATCGAAGAAAGATCTGAGAAAGTGTGAGAATTACAAAGACCTCACACTACTGTCGGTACCAGAAGTTTCAACAGTGCTGCTGAGTCGGATGAAAGATTTAATAAACGTTCAGCTTCGAGATCAACAGATTGGATTCCGTAAGGATCGGTCGTACACAGATCAAATCACCATACTACGGATCGTCGTTGAACAATTAACTGAATGGAACTCGTCACTATACATCAATTTCCTTGGTTATGAGGTGTTTGACAGCGTGAATAGGAGGATCTTACGAAACCTTCTTCGACACTATGGTGTACCTGAGATCTATATATATCATACGGGATTCATACGACGGACTACACTGCGAAGTTGTGGATGGAGGACAGCTGACAGACGTATTCCAAGTGAGAACTGGGATAAGAAAAGACTACTTACTCTCTCCCTTTCTGTTTCTTTTGGTAGTTGACGGAATTATAAGGACCTCGAGATCTGAGTGGAAGCACGGAATACAATGAACAGATTGGAATCAATCAGAAGATTTGGCCTTTCTATCACATACACACGCACAAATGCATACACAACATGGAGAACACCAACCCAGTCAAACTTGATGGAGAAACTCTGGAGGTGGTGGGAACTTTCACGTACCTTGACAGCATTACCGATAAACAAGGAGGATCAGATGCAGACGTAAATGCAAGGATTGGCGAAGTTAGGGCAGCATTCCTACAATTGAAGAACATATAAAACTCAACTGTTAACCAATATCAAATTCAGAATCTTCAATACGAACGTCGAGACAGTTCTACTGTATGAAGCTGGGACTTGGAGAACTACTACAACCATAATCGAACATGTATAAGTATTTATAAAAAATTTTCTACGTTAGACACTCAATGTCCGTTGGTCGGATACCAACAACAACAACCTATTGTGGCAGAGAACAAGCCAGATTTCAGCTGGAGGTGGACAATACTTACAATGAGGAAATCATCAAACTGCATCACGAAGCAGGCGCCAGCTCGGAATCCTGAAAGGAAATGGAAAGGAGGAAGACCAAAGACCACACTGCGTCAGGAATCAGACGCAGACATCATAGGGATGAATATCAACTGGGATGGATTACCCAGGACAGAGTTGGATGGAAAATGTTAGCGAGCAGCCTATGCTCCTCCACGAGGGGTAACAGGTGTAGATAAGTAATCAGGTAACTGTTCCTTCTGAAACGGCTATCCTCTCCAATGAAAAAATAGTTCGTCCCTCAGATTTTCGAGTTAATTCTCAATGTGATCCATTTTTTAATTTGTAAGTACCGTAGAATAGGGATAAATATGGCTAAAAGCTTGTTCTAAACTGTTGCTATGATCATGAGAAAATACCTTATTTCTAATTAGGGTTTGAGACTTAAAATGTAGGGGAAGACCAGTCATTCGCATTACTATTGGATCATGGGAAGTAAACTAGCGTACAACCGTGTTCGCAAAGTCGATTCATACTTCAGTTACCATCAGAAAATATTTTCTCCCAACCTTTTAAATAAAGTATGCCTGTTAGCCTTAACACATATTAGTTCTACTATAGTGAACGAAAACACCAGTGGGGATAACCGAAAGTATTTGTACACAAAATTACAGAATCTCTTAGTAAAATTTGAGAACCATACAATAAATACTTCATTTGCAAAATGTCTATCAATCGTCCTAGACTTCGTTGTTCTTTCGTTTCCACACCAATCATTCTCTGTTCTCTTTCCTTCGATCTTCTCAATCTTTTGCCGCCAGGCATTTCAATTTCGATTGATGATACATACTACTTATATCTGCCGATGTCAGTGGCACACACACCAGACTAACAGGTATATATGACGAATAACTTGGAGTATTTGAATTTAACTGGCTAGTCTTCGTAATTTCGAACCAGTCATTTATTTAAGTCCGGATATCACACTGTTAACTCTAATTCGGACACGTGCAATATTTATGAAAACTAAAAGTCTATTTGAACCGGAAAGCGGTTTATAATCTTGAACTTGAATAATAACTTGAGACTAACTACTTATGGGCATCTATTTCATGATAATACTCATTCGGTTAGTAAATCTACATGATAAGCCCGAAACTTTTAGCAAGTTTCACAAAATATTATACCCATTTAAAAGGTTAATTTAAAAAATGTTTAGACGTCTGAAACAAACTTAAGTTTTACTGTTGGAGGTGATAATCAGATTTGCGCCTAATATATGGTGAGTTGTTCTCAATCTGTCGTCGTGTTTTGAGGTTATATTCACTTATACCAGTTTTTGTGTTTTTACTTTCGCGTCGTGGGAATTTCGGAGGTCCCTCGTTCCAAGTGTAAGTGATAAGCGTTTTCGACACAACAATCAGCGACGACCACATATAACAAGTAGCATTCAAACAACAAGTTATAACACTAACCCAAGTTAGCGGGTTAGTTATCTCGCCAAACTTCAAATGTATGTTAATCGAGAAGTTGTCTGTTCTACATAGATTTTATGCGGTGATTTATAAGTTATTATAAAAAGCGCCTCATTATTTAGGTAGTTGGTTTTCTCCACAGGAACGTCTCTATCTGGAGAAGTATTACGTATGTCTTGTACTGTCACATTCACATATGAAATCAAACTCCAGAGCTTCAGACTACATAACAAGCAAGATATTATTGACCCACTAAATCGAAATCTATTGCTTTATTTAGTATGTAATACATCAAAACTATCATTCAACGTTAGATTTGGACATTTATTCTTATCTAGGATATGACTGACTTTTCGCGAGTTACGAGAGTTGTAATAAATCTCTGTGAAATTCACCTTCAGGCTATTAGTGGACAGTGCGCAGTTTATAAAATTTGCCTAAAATAGTATCTAAATATCTTGAAATTTACTTTATAGACCATACCTCTATTTTATGATTTGTGCACGTACGTAAACAGGCTACACAAATCACATGACACAACTAATGTTCTATAATTCTTTCTGTAATAGAACAAAAACACTTGAGTTGCGTTTATCTCAATGGAATTACTAGTCATAACATTTGTTACCACTTAAATAAGCCTTTCGTCTTGGCTGTAGTCGCTTATACTCACTCATGAGTTATATGTATACCTTTATCTGAAAAACAGTTTTACATTTACAATCCCAATTAAATTGTTTTTAACAAATTTCAACAAGATGTGAAATAAATCTCATTATTCTAAAAAATACAGTACAAAATAACAAAACAGGAAAAAAGCAATTCCATCTTAACTTATTACAATATACAGTTTAGTATTTAATTGTTTTCTAAAACGACAAAACATACGAATCAACAATGGCATTGAACTAGTTTTTTTG